TAAATATGTACTTTGAATATGATAAGAAACTAATACATAAAGTAGTAGATTAGAAGGGAGCTAGATTGACTGCAGAATGAAGAGTATAACTTTACAATTAGAGTACCGTGGCTAATGAAAGCTAATGATCAACTTGATTAAAGCTGATGACATGTCTAGTAATGATTAGCAGTGAAATCATATGCAAAAAAGCTCAATATTGTTACACAATGGTAAAATACTTTGGACTATTTGATTAATACTAATCAAGATCTTTTCTTTATTTTTAGTACACTAGCTGGTTAGTTAACTCTTTAAATGTATTTGGTTAAATGTAATAGAGAGAAGAGAACAAATGTTTTGAATATATTTCTGTGTATTAAAACTGGTTTACAAGGCTGCTATTTATACATCTCATAATCATGTATATAAGGTAAATAATAATACTACAGTAAATGTCAAAGATATGTAATGGCTAACTACAATATTGTGTTCTAAATATAAATTATTTCTTTCCTTCAATACACCCCTGCAAGCCAGGTATTCTGTCACTGCCAAGAATCCTGAGCTTGTCTCTAAGAAGAATGAAGTGTTGCCAGGGGAGCGGTTTGGTGAGGGCATCAGCTATCTGATCAGAGGATGGAATGTGATGAACTTGAAGAAGTCCACGTTGAACCCGCTGCCGAACAAAATGAAAGTCAATTGCCACATGTTTCATGCGAGTGTGGAAGACAGGATTTGTTGAAGACGTAGTGGCACCTTTGTTATCACAAAGGAGGACTGGAGGAGAAGGGAGCGGGTGCCGCAACTCACACAACAGAGATTCAATCCAAATAATTTTAGAGGCAGCGGTGGAAAGAGCTCGATATTCAGCTTCCGTGGAAGACTTAGCAATGGTACGTTGTTTAACTGATTTCCAAGATATAAGAGATTCCCCGAGAAAAATGGCATATGCGCTAGTAGAAGAACGGTCATCAGGGTTCCCTGCCCAGTCAGCATCAGCAAAGGCACGGAGAGAGGGGGATGTGCTAGGACAGAGAAACAGACCATGAGAAGCAGTTCCCTGTAGATAGCGCAAAAGACGTTTGAGAAGTTGCCAATGATTGACCGTAGGGTTATGCATGAATTGAGCCAGTTTGTTAATAGCAAAGGCAGCATCTGGACGGGTAAGATTCAAATATTGAAGTGACCCAAGGACCTGGCGATAGAGAGTGGCATCACATGAACCTGAACTGTCAAACAAGGTTAATGAAGCAGATGGAGCTAACGGCGTAGCTACCGGATTGGCCTCATCCATTTTTAACATTTTTAATAAGTCCATAATGTATTTATGTTGATCAAGGAAGAGTCCGCCCTGTGTAGGAGTAACCTGCATGCCCAAGAAATAGTGTAGGGAGCCAATATCCTTGATAGAGAATCGGTGGGCCAGTGAGTCAATAGTCTGACGTATCAAGTCGGGTGTAGAGCCAGTAACAATAATATCATCCACATAGACCAAAACATAGAGGTAAGATGGATGGGAGGAAAAATGAACAGACTGACATCAGCAACCGATTGAGAAAACCCAAGTGACAGAAGAAAGCCACTAAGAGATTGATACCACACACGAGGTGCCTGTTTAAGGCCATAAATAGATTTCCGAAGACGACAAACAAACCCAGAGCCATCATTAAATCCCGGAGGTTGCTTCATGTAAACTTCCTCCTGAAGAGTCCCATGTAGGAATGCATTATTGACATCTAACCGATGTACTGGCCAACCATGAGAAAGAGCAATAGTCAGAACAATACGAATGGTAACCGGTTTGATGACCGGACTAAAGGTGTCGGAATAATCAATTCTGGGGCGCTGATGGAAGCCCTTAGCCACTAGCCGAGCCTTATAGCGATCCAAGGAGCCATCCAGTTTATACTTCACTGTATATACCCATTTACAACCCACAATATTCTGACCAGGCTGAGCCGGAACAAGATCCCAAGTGCCCTGTCGAACCAAGGCATCAAATTCTACTGTCATAGCACTCCGCCATTGTGGTACCTGCATAGCTTGAGAAGCACACGTGGGAATTATATGGTGAGGTAAAGGATCAACAGTGGCAACATTGGCTTGTTTACGGGGTCGAAGGGTCATCAGATGGGTACGTTTGGGCGGTGGAGTATCGAGGGGTGGATTTGAGGTAGTGAGATCAGTGGCGGGTAAACGAGGGGGGAATAGAAGGATTGGGTTTGGGTCGGCGTTGGTAAGTAATAATTTGTGGTGGTGTGGGTTTAGGGAGGGGAGAAAGCGGGATATCAGTTTGAGTAGAGGTAGTGGGTGATGTGTCAAGAGTCAATTGTTGAGCTGAGGTATGAGTAGGAGGAGACGCCCCCGCAGCCAGAGTACCTGAAATGGGAAAATAAGACATAGAAGGCTGAAGCCAGTGATCAACTTCAGAAGTGATATTTGAGACGGGTGGTGAGGATGTAGAAAAAGGGAAGACTGACTCATCAAACACAACATGTCTGCTGACAAAGATACGGTTGGTGGTAAGATCAAGACAACGATAGGCACTTTGTTGGTCACAATATCCAAGGAAGACACATGGTTTGGAGCGTGGTTCTAATTTATGAGTGGTATAGGGACGTAACCACGGAAAACATTAGCACCCAAAAACAGCAAGTTTAGTGTAATTAGGAGGTTGTTGGAAGAGTTTTTCATATGGAGTGGAGAAGTTAAGAGAGAGAGCAGGTTGTCTATTAATGAGATAAACTGCGGTAAGAAAAGCATAAGACCAATATTTAAGAGGCATAGATGCATGGTGAAGTAGGGTGATACCAGTTTCCACAATGTGACGATGCCGACGTTCAGCAAAGCCATTGTGCTCTGGAGTGTAGGGAGGTGTAAATAAATGAGAAATCCCACATGTGCTTAAGAATTTCCCTAAGGTTATGTATTCGCCTCCCCCATCAGAATAAATTGTTTTAATTGTGCGTTGAAAAAAGTTTTCAACAATCTTTTTAAACTTTTGAAAGAGTGGAGTGACCTCACGTTTATGAGTTATAGGATAAAACCAAGTATATTTGGTATAATGATCAACAAAGTTAACATAGTAACGAAAGCCATCAATAGAATTAACACGAGCGGGACCCCAGACATCTGTATAGATTACATCTAGAGGTTCAAAGCTCGAAAGAGATGATTTTGCAAATGGCAGCTTATGGCTTTTATTACTAGCACACGAGACACACAAAGAGTTATTCGAAGTAACATCGGAAAAGGAAATACCTAAGGACGACAAAAAAATTTTAGTAATTGGGAGGGCTGGATGTCCTAAGTGACAGTGCCAATTATTAAGGGAATATTTTTGTGTGATGTGAGCAGACGGAGATGGTGGAGGGGGTACATCTGGCAAGCTGTAGACGTCTCCTTTATTCATACCCCGTAACAAAATTGCTCCCGTTCGCTGGTCCATAACAAGACAAAATGAAGAATGAAATTCAATTAGTACATCATTATCATGACATAATTTGGCGACAGAAATTAATTGGTATGAATAGAAGGGACAAAAAGGGTATTAGGTAGAGAAAGAGAGTGAAGGGTCATATGCCCAACTTGTGCTATCGCAAGACCTTTACCGTTACCAATAACGAGAGAATCAGTGGCAGTATAATCGGATGCCAAGGTAAGATTATTCAGGTTGTTGGTGACATGATTGGTTGCTCCAGAATCAAGTAACCATCCATTATGATTAGTGACAGCCGTGTTGACCTGAGGAGGATAAGCCTGTTGTTCAAACCGATGCCAACAATTGAGAGTGGAGTGGTTTGGTTTCCCACAAATTTGGCACATAATATTTGCTCCGAAATTGGGATTACTATTCGCGGAGATGTTGCGGGTTATCATATTGTTGGTGGTACCCCGAAAAGTATTCTGGCCACGTCGGTTAGAATTTTGAGAAAAATTGGGCCGCTGGTTTCTGGGCTGACTCCCAGTAGAACCCCGAGCTGAGTTGTTTGTGCGGCTGGGCTGATAATGAGACGGGCGAGGGCCCAATAAAGAAGGTGTATTAGGCTGCCCTGGAGTTCTGCGGGTAGTAAATGCGACAGAGTCCCCCATCGCAACGTTGTTCGCCGTCACCACGCCAACCGACATATCCAGAGCCTCCTTCCGCTGCAGAGTAGCTTCGAACCCGGTGAGCAAGGCGTAGATGTTGCCGAAACTGTTATCTCCACATGTACGAATAGAGTTTGTGAAGGATTCAAACTCAAGTCGGAGGCCCTCCATGGCTTGAAGGACGAAGTCGTCGTCATCAACAGGGCGGCCAGCCTTAGCTAATTCATCGGCGAGGGTACGGAGATGATGGAGATACTCACCCACTGCCTTAGATCCCTGTCGAGTGTGGCGGAAAACATCTTTCATATTCCGGATTTGAGCTGCTGAACGGGTGTCGTAAAGCCGCTCTAGGGTCTTCCACACCGCAGCAGAGGTACGTGCGGATCCAACCAATGGTTTGCACGCCGAGCTCAGGGAGGAGACAAGGGCATGTCGGAGGAGACAGTCTTGACGATTCCACCGGAGATGGCCTGCAGCGTCACTGGCAGGTGGCAGAACAGCACCATCACTGATGTATTGGTCGAGATGAGAGCCAACCAAGAGGTCAAGCACTTGGTCACGCCATATGAGGTAATTCGTTCCTTCAAGTTTTTCTGGGAAGTGGCTGGGGTTGAGGATGATTAATCCATCTGGAGTGAGGGGGTTGATGACTGCAGTAGAGGAAATTGTAGAAGAAACGGTAGGCTGCCCGTTTGGGGAATTTCTGAGATCCCCTTGCTGAGGGGGGTCGTCTGCCTCCATAGGAAGAGGGAGATGGCTGGTTAGAGCTCGTGTGGCTCTGATACCATAATAGAGAGAAGAGAACAAATGTTTTGAATATATTTCTGTGTGTTAAAAGTGGTTTACAAGGCTGCTATTTATACATCTCCTAACTAATCATGCATATAAGGTAAATAATAATACTATAGTAAATGCCAAAGATATGTAACGGCTAACTACAATATTGTGTTCTAAATACAAATTATTTCTTTCCTTCAATAAAATGTAGGATTAGAATGGAGTGGCAAGCATCTTTTGTTGAATGGTTTTGGAATTGTGAGATGCTATGAGCATTCAAATTGGCAGTTAGTGTAAATTTACATTATACATGCGTTTGATTGTGTTTCATTTTGAGGTAATACTTCATTGCTTCACTCTTTATTCAATTTTCATCATTTTTCAGTTTCTTTTTTTTTTGTAAATTCAAAACAGGGTTTGTTGTTTGCAGTCCCAAAATATGACAACAACAACATTTTTAGTTAGTGATTAAACATTTCGATGCCTATGAATGCGTGTGAATGATTGATTTAAGTTAGAACTAGGGATTAATGAAAGTAACTTAATGTTGGAACAATGTAAGTATGATGTTTGACAAAAGTCCTCAAAGAATTATAAACCCTATTTTAAAACTAAAGTAGGTTGAAAGTTGGATGGCTGAAATTTTCTTGCAATACTCATACTTCATCTAGCCCTATTTTGGCATCGATATCATAGATCGATTCATGTTAACCGACCCCAAATTCTTTTGGGATTAAGGCTTGGATGTTGTTGTGGTTGTACTCATACTTCATCTAGCTAGGTTAATTATTTCAGATGTTGTTCATAGGTTTAATTTAAGTTCAAGTTAATTAAACCTACTAAAACTTTTTATTTAAGCTAAAACTTTCCTTTAAAATTAAATAAAAGCAACTAAAACTTCCCCGTTTCTTACTCTTTTTCTAAACTGTGTTGTACTCTAAGATTCTAGTCTTTTGTATAATAGAAAGTAGAAATGGTTAAATTGAGTTTATTGAAAACAAATAATACATCATTGTTTGAAATATGATTATGTGCTTTACAACCCAATAATATGAGCACAAAAAATCAGTTAGTCATTCAACTTTTTTAGGAATATGCTCGTATAAAACTGTTTGGTTGCTTTTTGATTCACCAAGTTACTTTATTTATCCATATATTGATTTTGGTAACGGATTTGTTATGTCGGTTAGATATGGAGTCTTGAAATATTAAATTTAGCTTTATTGAATTATGTTGAAAATAATTACCTATAGCATACATTTTCTCAAAAGTAGATTGTATTAACTACTTCATACATGTTAAGAATATATGCTTTAATTTGTAAGACTATTTATTTTGTCCCTAGGAAATACATGTTAGACTTCTTAGAACGGCCGTTTAAAAATTTATGAGCACATTCAGGTTCGGGATCTTCCATATTATTGGCTGAAAATGATGAAAGATACAATAATGAAGATGCGTGTATGGAAAATAGGTATTTTGGTAAAGACGGTCTTAATTTAACTAGTCCAAAGCAGTTGTGGCAAGATGAATTTAGCTGTTACGATAGCCGCCATACCATTAAGCTTTTGATATGGTATATAACTTTGATATGTTTGCTTTTGCCAATGCCCTACATTTTGCTTCTTCTTGCAGCACTCATGATCTCTCAAAAGCTTCTGGATCCACCTTTTTGAAATGGTTATAAGACTACAAAAGTGTTCTGAGTGCTCTCTCTTGGTACACAAATCATCTTCCTTCTTACATTTCTTGGCTTCTTAGAAGCACATCGATACATTTGTGGTGTGCCAATCGTTTCTTTACACTACTCTACGGCCTGCTCCCTTTCCATCGTGAACACTGAAATTGCACTTCCATCAAAGAAACGGTTAATTAAGAGTGTTAATGAATGTGTTCTCTTTGTTCTTGTGTTAGGTCCTTGTAAGACTTGAATTGAGACCTGATTCTTGATTCATTCGCAATGTCAATTAATATGAGGTTGACCGATTGGTTTCAATATTGTTTTAAGTCCTTACTCTATAGTAGCTCATTTGGTTAATTTCTTTTGCAGAAAAAAGTTAATGTCCTGTTAATACTTTCAGGTAAATAAAGTCCCTCTCTTAGCAAAGAGTTTGTCATTCTCATTCTTGGGAAGGAAAGAAGTTTGTATATCAAGATTATTCTTACTGTCTTAGTTTCAAGAATTTAAGCCATTCAACGAAGCTCTGGTAGCTTTGTATTTCACTCAATGATATGTATTTAATGAACAATCTGTAATGAAGTTTTAGTACTAGTGATTGATATGTACTTATCTAGTCCACAATTACTTCAAAAGAAGGAAACATTTAGAGTTATATTTGCTTTTACAAGAAGGTAAAACCTGGTTTTCTGGTTTACATCAGAAAACAAACACGGTTTTTTTTTGTTCTGGTGAAGGCTTTTAACGACGGTTATCAATAAAAATTGTCGTAGTATTGTCTCCTAGAAACATATTTCACGTCGGTTATAAACAAAAACTGTCGCGGTAGAGTTTTCTAGAAACTTATTTCACGACGGTTATTTAACAAAACCGTCGTAAAAAGTAATATTTAACGTCGGTTTTAAAACTGACGTAAAATGTGTCCACTTTTAACATCTCTCACTTAGACGTCTCTTATAAACCGACGTGAAATGTCTCTTTTGTAGTAGTGATCACTCCGTTCTGCCTTTCAAATTCAATTATCGGATACTTACTGAAACCATATTGATGGATTTCTACTGAGATGATTCTTACGATCAAGGATTTAGAATGTTTCTTCAGATCTTTACGATGTTGATAAGGATCATCCCGATTAGCAAACATGTTTCTCCGCATTCATATATGTGTCCAGAAGCAGCAGTTCCTTCAGGATGTTCTATTCCTCAGAGTTCTAACTCGTATATCTTCTTGATGTGTTTCTCACTCCTCCAGATCCTTGGACGAAGATCCTCTTGAAAAGGAACAACGATCTTGACGTTTTCTCAGGGTGTCTCAATCTTGTCTTCTATTTTAGATTCCTTGGGACGTCTTCGAATCAGATCTTTTACTCTGTGAAGATCAGGGAGTGAATCATTATAAAACTCTCATTGGACTATTTCTTCAGGTTCAAGCTCCATTAACTCCTCAATTGCTTTCTTCTTCAGTTCTCTGATGTAGTTCGGCTTTATAAGTGCTTCTTCATTGCTTATTCCTTGTAGACTATCTTTTTCATCTCGTTCAGCCCAATCAACTAACAACAGACCAGCTTTCGATGGCGCTTTGAATTTCTCATATGATGGTGCTTGTGAAGCCTTTTCCTTTCTTTTTGATGATCGTCGTTTAGATGACGATTGCTTTGAAACTGTAGGAACTATAACAAATGAAATAACTTGTGGAACTGTAGTAGCTGCAGGAACTGGTGGAACAAATATAACGGCGGCGAACGGGTAAACTAACATCGGGGTCACAAAGACTTACCGTTGTCATCATACTAGAGACTGGCTCGTTCTGATGGCTTGAAGACAATGGTTATTTCAGTTTTGCTTTGTCAGGACTTCATTCCAATCCTTGGTCAACATCCATAGTAGATGAGCCTATGGAAGTTCTCGTGAGGACACATGACGAGCACTTTGTCAAGGTGCGTCAAAATAAATTCAATACTAAACACTTATACGTAGTATAGCGTAGTAGAGTTCGTATCCACAGGGAAAGGAATAATTCTCTTTTTATGATACTTAGTAAATAAAAAGGGGGGATTTGGATTGAGTGATTTGATTTAATTAAGAACTAAGATGAACAACCTATATGTGTTTAATTCAAAGATAAAAAGGACTTGGCATTGCTACTTTCCACTTGTTGATATATTTTAGTCGATCATCGTCATATCTATAACTTATTCCCTCTCGAATACTCAATCGGTGAGTATATCCACTTCATCGAGGGTAGTTATTAACAACGACCGTTCATTAATAACCCTTACTATTAATCAAATATAGAACAACGCCTTATACCGATTTAATAGTAGCATTTAAACTTTCTAACTCCTTGATGAAATCAATTGAGATTGATAACCTTAACACAAGCGGTTTCGGTTTAACCAACAAAATTAATCCCTTTTAAGTTTATTAACCACGACCATGCATTAATAAACCGAAGTTACTTACTTGTGAAACCATCAACGATTAACCATCGGTTCGTTGATCGTTTCTAGTAATAATTAATATATGAAACAAAACTAGTTGATCCTTTAAGTAATGTTCAAAATATTAATATGAAATAAGAGTAGGAATTAATTAATATTCAAGGAAGAATATTATTAATGAAGATGAATCCTACTATAATTAATATCAAGATGTTAACTAATTGTCATCTTAGCAACACTCCTCAATATTAATATAGAGGAAGAAAATATCATTCTAACTAATGTCGAGATGTTAACTAATTGTCATCTTAGCAACACTCCCCAACATTAATATAGAGATGGTATTAAGGAAAGAACTATTAATTAATATTCAAGGGAAGAAGTTAAGAAAATAACTCACAACTTTAATAATCAACAAGCTTCAAGAGCAACACCAAGAATGGAAGTTTAGCTCCTCATTTGGAGACTAAACATAGCAAGAAAAATATAAAGAAATGCTATTCTAAACTGAGCTAAAGAGTATGGAAGAAGGGATGATTTTTAGAGGAGAAAAAGAGTGCTATTTATAGGTGTTTTTCAACACCTTTGGCCGGGTACCCGACCGGGTATAGTACTTACCCGACCGGGTGCATGTCAAAATCAAATATCCTCCACGTTCTGGCGATCTTCGGCATGTTAAAGTGTCCGGGTCAAGTCAGACCCGACCGGGTGGGGTAGGGGACCCGACCGGGTGAGTGCAAAAATTGGATTTTCTACACGTTCGGGTGATCTTTGCACACCGGGTTGTCCCCGGTCACTTCTCACCCGACCGGGTGAGGTAGTGGGCCCGACCGGGCCATGCACTTTCTTTGCATTTTCGTTTTTCACCTCTTACCTGACCGGGTTAAGTGTTATATCCGGTCGGGTATTTGCTCCTGGGCAGCCAAATCTTCTTTTTCTTCACTTCAAAGTCTTCCTTTCCAACACCACAAATCCTAACTAAACTTTACAACTGACAAATAAAGACTAAAATACAATTACAACTGAAATCACATAAATGTTTACAAACTAAATAAAACGTCAAACAATTAACATAAATCAAACATAAAAACATGTAATTATGCACTACTAATTAGTGTGCATCAAACACCCCCACACTTAAACCTTTACTCGTCTCGAGTAAATTAAATCAAATCCAAGAAGTCCTAAATGACAAGAGTAGCAGCACCAACATCCACAAGTGTTTATAACAAATACATAAAGTGTCTCCAAAACAAAAAGAGTAAAGATGGGTCTTCAATTTCAATCCGAACTCTCAATAGTAATCGCCCTCAGGATCCTGCAAAATCAAAAGAAATAACTTTCTCTCATTCTCTCATTTTGCCTAGGTGCCCTTTCAGGTTTTCAACCCAGCTTCCCACATTTTTTTTTAATTTTTTTTTATTTTTCTCAAATCTCACAAACTCACTCTTATTTTTGCTTTATTTTTGCTTAAGCTGCCCTTTGTGGGTTTTCAACTCAACAAGCTTTCGTTTTTTTTTTTAGATAACAAGAATAAAGAGTGTGAATGTGAACATACCGGGAAGATCTCTTCACCCCCACACTTAGGATCTGACACTGTCCCTAGTGTCCGCCTAGACCTCCACCTTGGTGTCCGTCCTCATCCATGTGATCCCCGCCATAACCACCATCGTAGCCTCCACCACCGGAGCTCGATCCTCCAAAGAAATCCCACTGAGAGGGGTCATACCATGATGGTGCAGGAGGTGGAGTGGTCATAGAGGAAAAGGAGCACTGGTGTGCTATATATGAGTATATCGGACCAAAGGTTCTACGCTGATCCTCCTCAGATCTCCGTCTGTCTTCCTCATACCTACGCCAATCTGCTTGCCGCTGCTCCTCCATCCTCACAATGCTCTGGTTGAGCGTGACCATGTTATCGAGCATTTGTTGCTCGAAAGGTGTGTAGTGGAATGCTTGAGGTTGTGGTTGTTCGGGTATGATTGGGGGTTCTTCATCATCTTCATCGTGGATGGGTTCTTCATAATGATCCAGGATTGCCCCGGGAAGACAATAGTGATGTCCATCCCCGATTTGGTGATTGATGATATCCAGGGGGACGTCGGCTGAGGGTATCTGGAGGTAGATGGAAGTGCGTGGGAGAATGCGCCAATTATAGATGTGTGCCCCAGTTGGTGTTGTGTGCGAGGGGACCATGTCTAGCGTCTTTTGTAAAAGCCATTCAGTGCAAATAAGGTGTCTTGAGGTGATGGGGCCGGGGTCTATAAAACCATATAAAGTGGCTAGATGTGTGATGAGGCCCCCCATAGCAATTGGTCCTGTTGATGTTGCCACGTTGTTGAAATGAGTCCATAAGATGGTGGCAACATCAACTTGATTTGGACCCGGCAAAACAGCTTGTGCTAGAACACACACATCCCAGATACGTGTGTGATGATTATTCGGTCTTCCGAGGAAACAATTTGAGCAAAATTTTAAGAATAGTCGGAAGACCGGATGTTGCACACGATTCACACTCAGTTTAGATAGATCAACCACATTCTTTCCGGTCATTCTTCTCCACAATTCATACCCCACAAGAGAATCATATGTACGTGCTTCATCAAACCATGGGAGACCAAAATGTTGAACAAATTCTTGTTTGGTTAATGAACGATCCTCATTTAGTAAACGAAAGGTGATTATGTCATTTGCATGATCATTCACATCTTTTGTATACGCAAATGAGCTAAAAAATTCATATACCAAATGAGGATATGTCACATATTGCATTTCAAACATTCTAGATATTCCAATTCTTGCAAATATGTCACGCATCACAGTATCAATCCATAGTAGCGCTAAAGTAGTTAAGCACATAAAACGGGATTGCTTTACCTCCCTTTTTGATTGGTTGATGAAGTTGTTCCGTTGAGCCTCCGTAGCAAACTCCACGCTCTCATAGCCCGCTACCGGTGGGATAGCTCGATTTCCCCTTGAGGAAGAGGCTTTTGACTTTCTTGGAGCCATTGAAGTTCAAATTTTTTTTTTTTGAATTTTTTTTTTTTTTGTGATTTTCGGACTTGGGTAGGGTGGGGTTTGGAACTTTGGGATTTTGGTGGGTCTTGGGTATTTTGGGGTTGTGAGAGTGGAGAGGATGATTATTAGGAGAAGAAATTGGGATTTCTTGGGATTTTTTTGTGGAAAAATCGGAACTTTGGGGTATTGGGGGTTAAGGTTTCAGTTTTTTGCAAATGGGGAAGAAAATGGGATTTTATGGGTATGGGTGTGTTGAGAAGGTTGAGGAGATGAAGATTATGGTGTTATTTAGTGGATTTGGTGGAGAAATGGTGTAGAATCGAAGGTTTTGGTGTGTAAAAATGGAGGAGTTTGGGGAATTTTTCGTGGGGAGGAAGAAGAAATGGGGGAGGAAGGGGGTGAACCCGACCTGGTAATGGCTAATTTCCCGTTCACCCGGTCGGGTGAAGTCTCCCGCCCGGTCGGGCTGTGCAATGTTATGTTATCCAGTAGCTACTGGAATGAGTACCCGGTCGGGTGCTTCCCGGTCGGGTGCTTTAGGGTACCCGGTCGGGTCTTTCTGATTTTTTAAAAAATAAATTCGTACCCGCCCGAGTTTCAGAAATACCCGAATGGGTATGCATTCCAGTGTGTTTGGAGCCAAAAAATGCGCAGACCCGGTCGGGTTCTGGAAGGCCCCGGTCGGGTATATGTTTTTTTTTGTTTTTGCTAGCAACCCGGTGGCCTTGTGCCCGGGTGTTCCGTTTTTTATTAGAAAACCCGACCGGGCTGTTTGAGATACCCGGCCGGGTTTCAGCCCAGGCTAAATTTTTTTTTTTTTTTGAAAAAAATTATAACACACGAACTGAAAAAAAAATGAAATTAAAAATAAAAACTTGGGTTGCCTCCCAAGAAGCGCTTGATTTAATGTCGCGGCACGACGTTATTTTTATTTTATTTTTTTATTTTTATGTGGGATCGTGAACATCCCTTGTTTTATTTTTCCTTTTCGGCCTTCTCCAGTAAGGCCGGGATTTCTTTTCTGGTATCACTTCAATCCCAGGTGGGATCCATTCTCTTTTTGAAAATTTGAATAATTCTTCTTTTTCAAAAAGTTTGATGATCTCATTTTTCTTCTCAACAAAAATATTCGGGGTTTGTGGTTCACAAACATTTAGAGCACAAAGAGATTGGTCTTGAATTTGTTTTTTCGTAGAATCAAAAATGTTGAATTCTACCTTTTGATCATCAAACTCTAAAGTTAATGAACCATTAGCCACGTCTATTTTTGTTTTTGCGGTTTTCAGAAAAGGCCTACCCAAGAGGATGGGTGTAGTTTGGTTATCATCTCCCATTTCCAGAACATAAAAATCAACAGGGAAAATCAAATTTTCTACTTCTACTAGCACATCTTCTACTACACCCTTCGGGTAAGTATTAGACCGATCCGCTAGTTGAATCACTACACCAGTTTGATGTAGTGGGCCGAGTTGTAAGGA